ATAGTTATCAAGGGTTAAGGAAGAAAGGAATTCAGTCAACTGTGCAGCTTTTTAAAGTTAATTTTATTTAACTTTATTTTTTCTTTGAGATGGAGTTTCGTTCTTGTCGTTCACACTGGAGTGCAATGGTGTGATCTCAGCTCACTGCAATCTCTGCCTCCCAGGTTCAGGCAATTCTCCTGCCTCAGCCTCCTGAGTAGTTTCGATCGCAGGTGCCCGACACCATGCCCGGCTAATGTTTTTGTACTTTTAGTAGAGACGGGGTTTCACCATGTTGGCCAAGCTGGCCTCCAACTCCTGACCTCAGGCAGTCTGTGTGCCTCGGCCTCCCAAAGTGTTGTGATTACAGGTGTGAGCCACTGCGCCCGGCCCTGTCTCTCCTTTTTAATTAAATTAAATAAATAAACACATAGAGAGAGTCAGAAGATGCTAGCCTGGGCAACATAGCAAGACCTCATCTCTACAAGAAGTAAAAAGATTAGCTGGGCACGGGTGGCACATGACTGCAGTAGTCCCAGCTACTCGGGAAGCTGAGGTGGGAGGGTCACTTGAGCCCAGAAGGTCAAGGTTGCAGTGAGCTGTGATTGCACAACTGCACTCCAGCCTGGGCAACAGAACAAGGCCCTGTCTCAAAAAAAAGAAAAAAGTGTCATGTCCAGAGAGGCAGTGAAATGTGAGAGCAGGCACATCCCGCCCCTCCACCACCTCGAACTGAGTAATCCACCTGCTGTATGGACTCTAGATAGAGTGTTGCCACCAAGTAGGCACAAATTAACCTCCTGATGATTTCACACACTGGAGGACTTATATCCTATAGTTCAACAATGTACAGCCAATCACTATCAATTTCTGTAAACCAATGAGAATTTTTGGCAACTTTTTTTTTAAGACAATAGTCTTGCTCTGTCACCCAGGCTGGAGTGCAGTAGTGTGATCTTGGCTCACTGCAGCCTTGACCTCCCAGGCTCAATTGATCCTCCCACCTCAGCCTCCTGACTAGCTGGGACTACAGGCGTCGGCCACCAATCTCAGCTAATTTTTAAAATATTTAGTAGAAACAGGGTCTTATTATGTTGTCCAGGCTGGTCTCAAACTCCTGGATTTAAGTGATCCATCTGCCTTGGCCTTCCAAATGTTGGGATTAGAGGCGTAAGCCACCAATCCTGGCCCTGACAAACAACTTTTGTAATCACCTCTTCTCCCAATTTGTTCTTTTTTCTTCAAACTGGGTGGTTCTTTCTAACCTTCCTCCCTTTTTAAAACAGGGCAAGAGATTTGGGTTTCAAGCGTAAAAAAGAAAACTGCCTTGTCTGGCCTCGCTTCACAGCGCGGGATCTGCAGCCCAGTGCTGGCAGTTTGGCTCCCCTCCTGCTGTGGTTTCTTTTTTTTGGGCCTAAATTACACAGCATGCTTTTAAAATTGCTGCTTCCCATTGTTTGTAATTCAGACCTTTTTTCCCCCTTAAATTGGTGACCAAGGCCGGGTGTGATGGCTCATGCCTGTAATCCCAGCACTTTGGGAGGCCAAGGCAGGTGGACCACTTGAGGTCAGGAGTTTGAGACCAGCCTGGCCAACATGGTGAAACCCCACCTCTAGCTAAAAATACAAAAAATAAATAAATAAAAATAAGTGAAGTATGTTGGTGCACGCCTGTAGTCCCAGCTACTCGGGAGGCTGAGATAGGAGAATCTCTTAAACCTGGGAAGTGGAGGTTGCAGTGAGCCCAGATAGTGCCATTGCACTCCAGCCTGGGCAAAGAAAGCAAAACTCTGTCTCAAAAAAAAAAAAAAAAAAAGAAAAAAAAATTGGCTGGGCACGGTGGCTCAAGCCTGTAATCCCAGCATGGGAGGCCAAGGCGGGTGGATCACGAGGTCAAGAGATCGAGACCATCCTGGTCAACATGGTGAAACCCCGTCTCTACTAAAAATACAAAAAATTAGCTGGGCATGGTGGCGTGTGCCTGTAATCCCAGCGACTCAGGAGGCTGGGGCAGGAGAATTGCCTGAACCCAGGAGGCGGAGGTTGCGGTGAGCCGAGATGGCGCCATTGCACTCCAGCCTGGGTAACAAGAGCGAAACTCCATCTCAAAAAAAAAAAAAAATTGGTGACAAATCCCTGTTAGTCTTAAACTGGTGCATGAAGGTGAGTTCTCTCCTTGGCCCTCAAGTTGAGAGATTTAGAAGTTTGTTTGTTTTAGAGAGTGCGCTCTGTCACTTAAGGATGTAAATCTTTTTTATTTTATTTATTTATTTTGAGACACAGTCTCTGTCATCCAGGCAATTAGCTAAGCAGCATTCCAGCTGAGACTGGATTCAGAACAAAGTTGCAGTTCTTTAGAGCCACCACAGATTCCTTTCCTCACTGGATACCTTTAGCTTAGAAGTACCACTAATAGGAATTAATTTGAATTTACTTAAAGTTATTTATGACTCTTGACCATTTGGGATATATTATCTTTTCTACCAAAGGAAACTAATATTGCTCTCTCAAATACTGGGCATTGTTGAGCTGAAGACAGTGCAGGGGCTCTCTCCACCTCTCTTGCGTTTGCCTAAAGGCAGGACATAAATCCTTTACTGAAGACAGCTACTCATCAGCCCACAGATGGTGCCAGCAGGGCCAGAGGAATCTGTGAGCAGATTTTAGACCCTAAAAGATTTTAAAAATAGAGTCTCACTCTGTGGTTCAGGCTGAAGTCAAGTGGCCCACTCACAGTTCTGGGACTACAGATGCACCACCATGCCTGGTTAATTAAAAAAAATATATATATATTATTATTATTATTATTTTATTTTTTTTTTTTGAGAACTAGTTTCACTCTTATTGCCCTGGCTACAGTGCAATGGCAGGATCTCAGCTCACCACAACCTCTGCCTCCCAGGTTCAAGTGATTCTCCTGCCTCAGCCTCCTGAGTAGCTGGGATCACAGGCATGTGCCACCATGCCCAGCTAATTTTGTATTTTTAGTAGAGGCGGGGTTCCTCCATCTTGGTCAGCCTGTTCTCAAACTCACTGCCTCAGGTGATCCACCTGCCTCGGCCTCCCAAAGTGCTGGGATGAGCCACTACGCCCGGCCAAATGTTTTTTTTTTGGGGGGGGGGACGGGTAGAGAAGGCACCCCTTTACGTTGCCCAGGCTGGTCTTGAACTCCTGGCCTCTGGGATCTTTCCACCTCGGCCTCCCAAAGTACTGGGATTACAAGCATGAGCTTCCGCCCCAGCCCAACCCCATACATTTTACCTTCCCTAATTTTCCCAACTTTTGGCACTAGTCCCATGGGCAGTTTTCTTTTTTCTACTTTCCTGTCTCTTTAAATCTTCCACCTGGCATGTGTGCAGTCAGCTGAGAAGCTGAGGCATTAGAAAATATGGCCTGACAGCTGTGGGTTGCACCCTTTGCAGCTAGCAAGACTTTCTTTAAGCTGTCCTTGAGAGGGATCTGGGTCCTAAAAGCCATAAAGGGATTCTTAATTTTGGTCTCGCATGTCTGTCTGTGTTGGTTTTGAGTCATTTGTGTGGGTATGCCCTTGAACGATTGCAGATTTAGGGTCTGTGTTTAGAATATGACAGGGGTTTTGTTGTTTTGTTCAGCCTTCTCCTGAGCGAAATGAAACCGTATACTCCAAAAGAAAACAGTTTATTAAAACTCGAAGACAAACTGCTTTAAATAGTGATTACCCCAGACTTCTAATGAGCACATACGTTCCACCTCCAAAACTTTTTTGGGGGGCTAGATGGGGAGGTGCAAGGTCTGGTTCTGTCTGCCGAGGCTGGAGTGCAATGCTGCATTCTTGGCTTATGACGGTGGGTAGCTAGTCAGGCGCGAGCAGGGCAGGGAGGGCTCAAGGGCTCCCTCCGCCCACCAGGGATGTGACTGTCAGGTGATGGTCAGGCAGTTGTCACACTGCCTCTCTGAAATAATTGGTCACAGCCAGCACCAGGGAAAGGCAGTTTCCCTGGTAGACCAATACCTGAAGCTGGTAATCAGCAGCTTCCCGATAAGATCTCAGCAGTCGGGCAAGTGGGCTCAAGCTGTGCAGTAAGAGGTGCAAAATGGTGGCGTTTACCTGGTGTGTGAGCTTCCAGGGACTTTCCACCCATACGGGAAGAAGCCTCAGGGGAGCATGTGCACGCTCCAGGACACACAGCACACGTGCTCCCTCCCAAGTGCTAGCAGGCCACTGTGCATGCGGGCAGCCTGCCCCAAGGGAGGAGTCGGGAGAACGTCCAGAGCCCTACCTCAGAGGCCTGACAGGGCACTAGCCTCTCAAGCTGCCCACTTGGCCTCTTCCGAGTGCACTTTCCTTCCGTTTCTGCCCTAGAGCTTTTTCGTAAACTTTCACCCCTATTCTAAAACTTGATGCAGTTTTTTCTTCTGCCTTATGGCCTTTGGTCAAATTCTTTCTTCTGAGAATGCGAGAACTGAGGCTGCTGCAGATCTGTTCAGATTCGCCGCTGGCAGCTCAGATACCTGCCATTGGCAACAGGCTCACTGCAGCCTCCACCTCCCCGGCTCAAGCCATGCTCCCACCACAGCCTCCTGAGTAGTTGGGATCACAGGTGTGCCCCACCACACCTGGCTAATTTTTGTATTTTTTGTAGAGGTGAGGTTTTACCATGTTTCCCAGGCTGGTCTTGAACTTGTGAGCTCGAGTGATCCCACCTGCCTCAGCCTCCCAAAGTGCTGGGATTACAGGTGTGAGCCACCATGCTCAGCCTGGGTCTGATAATTTAAGGGGGGCTCACAGTTCTCAGATTAAAAGTTTTTTTTCTTTCTCAGGACTCCCTCTACCCACCCAGTAAGCCTCCTGAGTCCTTTCGTCTTAGGTGCAGCCTATGGCAGGGCCTGAAGGGGCCCCTTGACACCATGCCCCTCACTGGGACTCCACAACCCCCAGCCCGCAGTGAGTTTCTAGCAAGGTCAAGAGCATGCTAGGCTTTGCCAGGCCCCAGGCTGGTTGTGGGCTGTTTCCTTCCGTGATTGGCTTTTTGTCTTTGCAGGTTCTGCTTGGATTCTGCTAGACAGACCCGACAAAGACTGTCTATCAACTGGTCCAATTTTAGCTTGAAAAAAGCCACCTTTGCTGCCCACTGAATGAGGACTGCCTGAAGAGGGACGCGCAAGAGGTGGGCCAGGCTGCGCCACCCCAAGAGCCAAGCCCCTCGCCAGCACCCCAGAGCCGTGGTGCTTGCCAAGGGCTGTGCGGAGCCGGTGCTGCCTGAGACCCCAGACCGAGAAGTTGATGCTCGGCCCACGCTGTTAGCTTGTGTGCGTGTAGTCTGTGCGTGAGACTCCTTCGATTGTAGCTCTGTGCTGTCGGATTGGAACAGTAGTTCCCGCCAAGTCCTCCCACCACTGCGGCCTCAGAGGCCTGGGCCGTGGCCAGATAGGAGTTTGCATCATCCACGTGGCTCCGTTGCCTCTGCATTGCACCCTGTCCTGTCATCTGTCCTCACTGGGGTACTGGCCGTCACTCAGCTCTCCTGTGCCCCTGCGTCCCACCCTAGGCGGGCTGGGCGGGGCAGGCCTCCTTCGTTCTCCACAATCTACTGTCTCTGAGTGTACACGTTGCGCTGTTTGTGTTTGATCCCCCCTGACTTGTAGCCAGCTTGTGTAAGATCCCTTGCAGAATGAGAAAGTTAAAAACAAGAAACCCACCCAGTACTCACACCATCAAGTCTGTTATAGAGTGTACGACTGTATTAACACGGAGGCCTGCCTGGCTACTTTTTTAACATATTGTTAAGTAATATTAAAATCATGTCTTTCTTTTTGAAAGATGGAATACATTAGTACAGAAGGAGACCTCGGCTGCTTCTTTCTGCGGGGGTGGGGGGGTGGGGAGGGTGGGAGAGGGCGTGCAGCTGATGCACCCCACCTCGGGAGCCAGGACACCACCTCGGCGCAGTTCCCAGGTCTCTCCAGACAGCAGCTTCGAGATCCTGGGGCCCCTGCCATCCTCTGTGTGCCCAGCAGAGCAGGCAGCAGGAGACAGCAGCTGACCACGTCATCGGGGTCAATTTGTGAAGTGCCGAGTGCTATGAAGCAGCAAATGGGGTGGAGCAGGGTCAGCAGGTCCCCACAGAGCAGCTGGGAACACCCTGGGGACAAGGGAACCCTGGATTAGGACGTACTGGCTTAAAGGTGGCCATAGGCCCCTGCTGCACAGAGCAAAGGAGGGAGGTGGGTCACAGGCCGGGATCACAGGACTGCGTAGGCTGGTGCCCTTCCTGTTGTGGGGTGGGGTGTGATTTATAATAAAATAATGAATTACAAATCTTGAATTGGGTAGAGGTTATAAATGAGGTGAATAGTATTTAAAATGAAAGAAGGAATCCCAGGATGGCCCCTTTTTTCTGAGATCTCTTTAGGCAGATCTCACTGCATCCTGGTGACTGCTTACCACCTAGAACACTCAATAGCTCCCACTTCTCCCAGCCTCATGTTCAGCCTGCCTCTGTGTGCCCCATGGGAATATGACCACCCTGAGTGAAGGTGAAGAGGGGAGGGCCAGCTTCTGGAGGTACTCGGACGATGAGGCCACAGGATTTTCTGGTGGATCTGACACAGGTAGGAGGAAGAGGGGATGGTCTGCACTGTGTGCTCTGTAGGTGGGTGGTGGGACTGGGGACCCCGTTCTGGATGGATTTGTCAGAAGAGACGTCTGGAACTGGGGACTGCTGCTCATGCACAGAGCCTGTATGAGGGCTCACCCCCATACTGTGAGTAGATGGGATTGGGGTCCCAAGCTGTGGAATCAGGAAGGCAGAGAGTGAGGAGTCCTTGAGGCAGGTCAGGGGAGACAAGGGCCTGGGCACCGCGCCCCCGGGGTGCCAGTTTGCAGGAGAATGAGGTGGGGACAGCAGGTCCTAGAATTCTGGAGTCTGCTCCAGAGAGCCAGAAATGGGTCACCAACCAGGGGAGGTGCAGTATGAGGAACTTTCCTCGCTTAATTTTTTTCCAGGTGTGAGGAAGAGAACATTCCTTTGCTCATGGGATGACAGGGCAGAGGGCAAAGCAGGCTGGGCCGTGACCACGGCAACAGTGGTGTCCTCGAAGGGCAGAATCCCAGCACAGGCCCCGGGACTCCGGCCTCCCCCTCTGGCTGCAGTGGGGGCTGGGGAAAGGCCCAGGACTGGACCTCACCCTGTGGGGAGGCTGCCTGCCCAGGCCCCCAGAGCCTGGCCTACTCTTCCCGTGGACAGCCTTGACACTGCTGGGGGCTAGTACCACGTCTGTGTCCCAGCCTCCTCCCGGTGGAATCATACCTGCTGCTGAGGGAAACTCTGGGTGCTGCAGCACACGAAGCACTGTGCTGGCACTCAGACCCTCAGATGCCACCCCCCACGCCCAGTTCTGAGCACTCCCGCCTCCATGGGGGCCCCGCCTGCGGCTTCTCCACCGCCCTGCCCCGTGACCTGCACCTACTCGATTTGGCCCTCAGGCTCCCAGCCTTTCTCCTGGCCATGCCCTTGCCAGGGAGCTTCCCCTATTTCCCTGGAAACCACTCATTCTTCCAACATCCCAGGGTGCTTATAGGACATCCAGCTCCAGAGTCCCTGACTTGATGGGAGCCCCTTGGGTTCCTGATGACATGGGGGAGGGTGGGGCGGCCCTATGGGAGCCTCACACGCTTGACTGGTAGTAGCACAGGGTGAGAATCCCTCATCCCTTACCTGGCATGCTCAGTACCAGAAGTGTGTCAGGTTTCAGACTTTTTGGGATTTGGAATATTTACATCATGCTTACTGATTGAGCATTTCTAATCCAAAAATCTGAAATCCAAAATGTTCCAACAAGCATTTCCTTGGAGCATCATCTTAATGCTCAAAAACATTTGGATTTTGGAACATTTTGAGTTAGGCATACCCGACCTGTAATGGTCATGAACAGAAATAGAATACCAACAGCTACAAAGGAAACCCTAACAATGAACAGTTGAATTGAGATGCTTGCTGTTTTCTGCACCCTCAGCTCTGAGTCCTGTGCAGAGATTTTGCCTGGGTAGAGAAACAGGCGGTAAAACAGATAGCTCCTAATCTCTTCCCAAAGGAACGGACTTCATCTGCAACAAAGAGGTTCAAGCCTGAAGGCACTCTCAGAAACAGTGGAGGCTGTGAAACCCCGGGAACAGAGACAAGATACAGGCTCAGCCAAGAGCTGGAGGAGACATCACACAGTGTTCCCAGAAACTATCCCTTCAAAGGAGTCAGAATTTGATTGGATTTGTTTGTAGAGCCAGTTGTACCCGCCGTCACTGTTGAAAACAATAGAGTTGGCAGTTAGTGGTTTAAGGGCTGAAAGTGATCAGGGAAAGGAAGAGAACCATGCCAAAATGACTGTCATCAGGGTGAGTGTGGCGTACACAAAGCTACACACCCTGAGGAGCAATGAGCAACGTCGTAGGCTGAATACTAGTGGGGAGAGGGTGTTAAAGAGATTTCACAAGATAATCCAACCACTAAACAAGTAAGCAAACAAGACCTAGTGGGAAGGAGTGCGGAAGGAAAGAGTTCACAGAATTACTGCTATATGTTATCTAAGATGTCAAGTGTTAAATACCGTGAGCTCCGACTCTCTTCAAAGCATCAGTATGTCAGTATGTTCAGCTCTCTCTCCATTTTAAAGTTGAACTTCCTGGTTCTCTTTACCCCCTGCCTCTAGTTTCAGTAAACAGCTTTCCTGCCAGTTCTAATCAGTAGTTCACATCTGTCCCCTTGGGCACCTGCTTTGACCTAGGTCACCTTTAGTCACCTGCTCTGTCCTGCTTGACTCATTCTGGTCACCTGCTATGACCTGAGTCACCCCGGGTCACCTGCTCTGACCTGAGCCACCTTTAATTACCTGTTCCATAACCATCCTTCCCACCAAACTGCTCACCTGCCACTCTGGCTCATACCCCTGCTCCCTTTAAAGCAGCCAATTGGAATTAGCTTAGACTACAGTCCAATGCTAGCCAATAGAGGAACAACACAGCAGTAGAGGCTACCAGCATCGAGGATAAGAACCCCTCCCCTCCCTGTTCAGGAGTGCTTTCACCATTGCTCCATGCATGAGATGCACCCTTCTGTAGAAGTAAATTGCCTTGCCCAGAAAATTCTTTGAGTGCTAGTTCTTTTTGGCACCAAGGAACAAGCATTTGTTTCTGACAATTTGGTGGCCCATACGGGGAAGCATTCTCCTCCGGGGGGCCATCGCTGGTTCTCTCTCATGAGGAGGCATGCCCCACTGCCTCCTTGTAGCAGCCTCAGAAGTAAGGAATCGAGACCCACCCGGTGTGATGAATAAACTCGGACTCTCAGCTGCACGGAAAGAAACCAGCCAGTGACCTGGGGAAAAGTATCCTTGCATACCTCGGCGACCAGGCAACTCTGGTAAAAAAAAAAAAAAAAAGTTTCAAAAGTCAGGGCCAAGGAAAGCCACAGGGGTGGGGAAGTACTCCTTAGTCAGGGTGTCTTGGAGGTTTAAAAAAAAAAAAAAAAGTGAGAAATTTCCAATAAAGGAAATTGAGCCTCACCCCAAAAGTTGAGAAATTTTCAATAAGGGAAATTGAGCCTCACCCCACAACCATACCCCAAATCAAGTAAGGAATAAAAAGATAAAGCTGGCAATAATCATATTCCCATGAGAATCCCCTAGGCCTACTATTAAAATATTGGAAAGATAATAAAAAGACCAAAAATAAGAAGCAACAAATGATAAGGTACTATTTTATATAGACTCAAACCCAGTCCTCAAACCCTCAATTTTCTGGCCAAAAATTTTAGTTAAATGAGGGTTGGATCTGTCAACTTTTAAGAGAGTATTTTAATAACAAGAATTCCATCTCTCAAGAACTAAATTATGCCTTATGCTAGGCCTGCCAGAGCTGCATGAATAGTGTGAGGGGAACCTCCCCTCTGCCAAGAAACTCCAGCGTAAGAGAGGGAGGGCAGCCACAGTTTCCAGTGTTACTCAGGTAGAAGTTAATGAAAACGCAAAGGTGGCTCTGGCATACAGAGAGCAGGGGACAAGAGCATAAAGACACCAGACACAGCCCGGCGTAGAGAGCAAGGGACAAAGCCCAGTCTGGTGGCAAATGAAGAAAACCTGAGTTTAGAAAAGCGCTGTGTGTCAACTGGTAGAGACACTGCTTGTTTATAAGTGCATACATTTTTGTTTTCTTGTAATGAGAGCATCATAAGGTTACTTTATACCAGTTAGAAAACTTCCATTGGATATTCTTTTTTCTTTTCAATGGCAGCTAAAGATGTACAGATTTTAACTTTCCATTTAATGTGAAAAAAAAAATGTATAGATTACTGTTAAATTACAGTCCTTTTTTTAA